TGCTGTCATACCCCCCTTACTGATATATATATATATATATATATATATATATGTTCAGTGATCATACTTTGACTAATGTTAACATACGTTGTTTTAAAGTATGCAAGAAAACCAATGCTTCTCTCCGAACTTACACTGTATTTTCTGAACAACATTATACTTTCTAGCCTGATGTTTGTAGTGTCAGGAGGACAGGGCAAGGCGGTTTTGTTTTCGCATAGGTTGGTTCCAAATCGACTACCTGTTAATAATTAACTACGCAGGATAAACGGGCGACTCGTACGCCAGATCGCCTTACCTGTGCCAGAGGCCACGTTGGAATACTGATCACCGCATCAACAGAGTCTGCCTACGCATGTGTTTGTGCTGCCGTGCATGTGAGGGCAATAAGCTTATCACTCTGTTGCTGCTGTTGGTGCTACTGCATCATGTGTGCACATGTGTGCCCTCAAAACAATGTCGCCAAATCAGCGCGGTCTCAACCAATCCACGCCCCCATCGGAGCATCTTGTGAAATCTGAGGCCAATCACCTGGCGCCATGCATAGAGCCCAAGCTCTTCACACTCTGCGTTCCAGCAGCTGGTCCACTTATGTAGCTGCATTTATGAAGCAAGCCTCTCTCCTCGTCCTTCCATCTTCGAGCAGTGAGCCAGCACAAAGCAACTCCCATTTTTTGCTTCTCTGATCACGAAAGAACTTAAGCTCTACGGAGGCGACAGATCCCGTCCTCTCATCCGCAAGTTTGAAGCTCCATTCTGTGTGCGTGTCTGCATGGCTTTCACTGACGGCAAGATGACACAGGTCACGAAGGGTCCTTGCAATCTTCCACCCATTGCGAATACCTCTGTCGATGCAGTCACCAGGTCGGAGTCAAGACGCAAAAGTTCTCTGACCTTCGAGGATTTACCACCACCATCACCGCACTTCTTTGAAACTACTCGACTCCTCAGCAATGCGGCGCCGAACAAAGGCAATCAGACGCCTGTTAGGTTGTCCAGCGTCCGACAGAACGGTCGCGTTAAAAGGCAAAGTACGCTACGAGGCAGCTTGCCTTATATTGGCGAAAATTGTGAGGACTTCCCCGGCGACAAGCCCGAAATGATAGAGCGGTAAGTAACCTACAGGGCCAGAGGCCGTGTCATACCCATTAGTTCCTTTGACACAATTACGATAATGCAGTAAATCGACACTCGATAGAAGCGAATGTGCGAGTTGCAGAAAGCAGTTAAGAAGATGCGATCACTGTAGCGT